CCTCCGGAGCCCTCTGCCCGGCTGCGCGCAGGCCGGGGACAGGTTCACACCTTGCCCTGGGGACAACCCGCGCGGTGGCCGCAGGAGGCGCCGGGGGCTCCAGATTCGGCACCTCCGAGCGCAGAGCCCCAGCAGGGTGACCGGCTCCCCACACGCTCCCGGGTTACACCTCAGTACCTCGATGGCCAGCACGGCCAGGCTGCTGGCCCCGGGGATGGACGTGTATTTCTGCAAGGTCCCGCCAATGGTGGAGAAACAGCCCTAGGGTGCAGGGAGAAGATTCAGGGGCTCCCTTGGGCTTCTTGCCTCCCGCAGGGAGCTTTGGAGAGACGCTAAGGTCTGGGAGGGAGCAGGATGGCGCAGAGAGCGCTGCAGTGGGATGGGATGAGCCGGAGATTTGGGAACTTTGGTGCTGTGGATGCCGCCCAAACCTGCTCGTGGATGTAGCCCGGGCCCCTCTGGCGGCAGCGCCCCCAGCCCAGCAGCTCGCCTGCCTGCAGGAGCCCATGGCGGGTGCAGCACGCCCGCGGCCAGGGCGAACCTGGCTGCAGCTCCTGGAAGCGGGACCCATTCCCAAAGTCCTCAGGCCCTGAAACGCCACAGCACGAGAACTGAAAGGGAAGGGAAAGGCTGTCAAGGTGCTGCCAAACGCCACGGGCTTCGCTCGGGGAGGGCATCGCCCCGTGCAAGCGGGCACGCTCGGCTGCTCTGTGGGGCCCGTGAGCAGGTTCCCCGTGCACAGGGTGCCCCTGAGGCAGGGCCCGTGGGTGCTTCCCGGCCCTCGGCAGCCCGGTGGCCACCCACCGTGATCATGACGGTGTTCCAGGCCGTGGAGAAGACTTCAGCATCCTCATCCCCGCAGTAGTTCCTCCGCAGCTCAGCCAGGAAGAGCTCTGGGCTGATCTGCAGGATCCAGGTGCTCTGCAGGTGCCCCAGGACCAGCCCCAGGTGTGGGGGCCACAGGGACCCCTGCGCCCACCCACACCCAGCACTGCCCCAGCCCGGGCATCGCCCCTGCGAGGGGACACAGGGATCCCTCTCCGCCACAGGGCAGGGCCAGCCAGGCTCAGGGTGGCCCCGAGGTGCTCGCAGTGAGGGTGAGGGTGAGGCAGGACATCCCCGAGCTGCTCCTGCCTCGCTGCCAACAGGCTTGGGACCACGCGTGGGATGCCCGTGCCGGGCACCGCGGCCGGGCGAGGGGACGGTACCTCTTTCCAGTGCACCAGGAAGAGGACAGCGCCCACAAGCTGCGTGACGAAGACGAGGCTCACGAGGATGAAGAACTGGAAGGCAGAGAGATGGACGGGTGAGAAACTGGCCCAGCCCCAAGCACAGCTCGCTCCGGCTGTTCCTGCCTGCGAATATCCCCTCTGCCCCGAGACCGTGACCAGAGGCGCACAGCGAGCGGGACCAGCGTGCAGCTTGGGGGAGCATTAAAAACAGCAGGGAACACCCAAGAAATTATGGCAGCTGTCTCGGAAAAGGCATTTCCAAGCTCACCTGGTGCTGCTCCCCATCCTGCGGCCCCCAGCATCCTGCAGCACCCCACTCCCCCACGACGCCCCAC